ATTATATACTGTATATATATGTTGTCTGTAAATGTACAACATCAATTAGAGATTGAGGGAACATTTAAACAGTTATATTTACCTTGAGGGTGTTGGAAGTAAAAGGCCTGATGATCTCTGGGGGGATATCCAAGCCTGGAGGACAGGGCAGCGAGAAGCTGCTGTCCAAATATTTACCACTCATGGCTTCTTCTACCAGCCTGAATATAAACAAATAATCAGCACGCACATCATTCAGTCGAAACAGCAAATCATTTATTGTGTCAATGAAATAAGCAATCAAACTATCGTTTTACTCAGTCTATTTACTGCTGTACACTTTGTGCTAATTGAACCATTCATGTACAAAAACATTCAACTCATACAGTAGATGTGTGCTACGACTTTAAGTTGGTGTAACTTTTATATTTCTAAATATTTAAACTTTTTTTTATACAAAACATAATTGAGATCCTTTCAAAACCATTTGAAATTGACTTTGACATACTTCTGCTAATACTGCTAATGCTAATTTTGGTTCAGAGCAAACATTCTGCTAAATGTAGCTAACACTTTAAAGTACCTTTAACTCATTGTTATTTGTATTTAGCTGGATGTTTGTTATGTTTAGCCAGAGTTTTACTTTAGCATTTTTTTAAGTTAGCATTTGGCTACTTTTAGATGACATTTTGCTATTTTTTTAAAGTAGCATCTTACTACTTTTAACTTGAGGTAGTGTTTTACTTTTTATGTTTTACCTATGGTTTCACTACTTTTGGTTTTAGCTAGTGTTTTGCTTCTTTTAACTCTTAGCTAACATGTTGCTATTTTAAGCTACTGATTTGGTACATTTAGCTTTCAGCTCAGTTTTTTCAGCAAAATCATTCAGGACTCAGCACTGACATTACATTTTCACATAATAAGTGATTTCTTTAGTTTAGAGATGTAAACTATAAGAGAAGCAGTGTTTTTTAAAGTGACAGTACTTACTTCTGTCTGTCCTTAACTTGGATGTAAGTCATAGAGGAACCGTAGAGCGTGAGCTTCCACTGTTTCAACACTCCCACTGCGGCACACTGCGCCGACGCATCGTCTTCTACACAAACACAGACGAGTCAGAGAGCTGAGGAATCTGAACTCATTGACAGTTAAAACTCAAACGCGCTCCTCAGAGATGAGAAACATGTGTGTTTGTGTTTTTAACTCTTTGTCGTCACTTCACAGCTCCTGCCCTGTGTGTGTGTGTGTGTGTGTTCCAGTGTCTTACTGTGGTCTGATATCTTCAGGGTGTACTGGCCTTCAGCCTTCTCTCCCCAGCAGCGCACAGTGGAGAAAGTCCAGTCCTGGTAACCTGAAGGATCTCTGTATACACAAAAGGACAACATTTTATTAAAATTTATTTTATTATTTCTCTGTATGATCTTTCGTTCTCTCTTAAAAAAAAACGATCTCAACTCAACTCCAAGTCATCCTACGGTCTGCACATACCTGTCGATGACCCGACGAGCTCCAATGACAGATGTCATACCGCTGGGACACGCCAGCACAACCTCCACATTACCACGACATGGGTGACTTATGGTCATGGTGATGGCAACATGCTCCAGTGTCTCCATCCCAGACTGCCTCAGGTCAGCAGCAGAGACTGAAGGAGAAAAAAAACTTTACTCAGTTTCTGTGAATAGAAACCAACATGTTTCTGACCACTCTGTAAAGAGGAGAATTTGATCCTTTGATCATCACCGCCATCTTCATCGTTACGCCGTCTGTCATCTTATTTACGCACATCGGTTTTGTTTTGCTTCTTCTGACTGAGTCCTCTTTTCCACCTGCTCCCTATTCTCACTACAGACATCAAACTCCAGGTCAGACAGAGACTCCGGACCTCATTTGTCAACTCGTTAGTCACCACTGCAAACAAGAGGGAGCTCAGAGCCGATCCCATTCATCCTTTAAAGGGATCCCTGATTAGTTGTAACTTTAGACTTTATTTGATAAATATATATTTTAACAGTAAAATAAAGACTGTAAAAATACTGTAGAATGTTCAGTTTTTATAATTTATATAAATATATTTTAACACGGACGGGGCCATTATACATACAAGCAAAGCATTCTGGGTAAATGATGACATGCATAGGTCATCGGTGCGAGGCTGCTAGCGAGCTATATCCATCCTGAAGGTTAATCTTGGACAATATCTGATGATCGACTCTTTTAAATGAAACCAGAGAGC